CTGAATCTGGATTTGAACTTGTAGACAAAAGATTAGTGGGATGATATTGAGGATAATTACCATACTTTCTCACCAACACTCCTTTGTCAAGAAAGAAAATTTGGACTCATGAGTCATTGAGCTGATACATAAGTCATTGAACTGATATATAATAAACTTTTATGTATTTATATAAAATTTTATAAAAATGTATATATATAATTATAGAGATAATGGCTAGGGTAGGTTTCCATAACCATGTGTCAATTATCTCTATTTTATAGATGAGAAATTCCATAAGGCCTTTTATACTGTAAGGATTGATCAAGCTCCTGGGAGACAATCCTCCATGAGTTTCCTTTGTTTCTGCATGTCTTTTAAACAGAGGCTTCCTAACTGCCCTTTGTTCCAGACTATCTTTTCATGGATGTTGGCACAGAGCCTGGGAAGATATAGTGTCTCCCTCTGGTGAAAGGGTAAGTATGTTTATTGCCCATTATAAAAGATTGGGCTCTCTAAGCCCAGGGTCCCCCTCCTGAAATGCAATCCACTGCACCCGTAGGCATCCTTCTGGGTCTATCCAGGTTGTCCCCATGACACTTGGGAGCAAGGAGAATTAACACACTGCACTGGCTCATGCTGCTTGCTGTGCTATGAGTAACAAAGTCCTTTGTCTCTGACCCAGGAGTCTCATGTCTTATGCCAGCAACCACGAAACTGTGGCAGTTAGCTTGCCACTGGGGTAAAACCTCAGATACTTCACACTTCAGAAGACAGGAATATTTTTCTTTTCTTTTCTAGAGAGGTCAAATTTGTCCTCATCCTTATAGAAAAATAAGGCATCTGCTTTGGCGTCCATTGGATTAATATCAAGTAGATCCATCTTAGAGCCTAAAGAAATGAAGGAAGACAAAATGGCAGTGTTGGGGGGGGCTCCCCTGAATGTTAGCCAGGTGCTCAGAGATGAGGCTAAGTGAAGTACAACTATTTCCATGTCCATACCCTCAAAATGCTCATCACTGAAAGCAAGGGTTGACAAACTGGCCCATGAGCCAAATCCAGCCCACACGTTTTTCGGTAAGTACATTTCTATGGTTTAGGCATTATCGGTGGCTGTTTTTATGCTACAATAGCAGAACCGAATGGTTGCAACAGAGACTCCATGGCCTGCAAAGCCTAAAATATTTACTGTCTGGCCTTTTACAGAAAACACTTGGTGACCTCTGATCTAAAGAAATAAACAGATTCATGTAGAATAAAGAATTCCCCCCAAATGTGCTGAAGAGGTATGAACAGAACATTATGTGAGCATAGAAAAGAGAGCTGTATGGCGCCTGGGTGGCTCAGATGGTTAAGCGTCTGCCTTCGGCTTGGGACATGATCCCAGGGATCGAGTCCTGCTTCGGGCTCCCTGCTCAGTGCAGAGCCTGCTTCTCCCTCTCCCTCTGCCGTTCCCTCTGCTTGTGCTCTCTGGCTCTGTCTATCTCTCTGTCAAATAAATACGTAAATCTTTAAAAAGAAAAAAAGAAAAGAGAGCTGTAAACACAGGCACATACATGCTTGTACACACACAAGATATTACCACGTTATTCCTCTGCCAAAGGAGTAATCTGGAGATATGACTTAGGGAGTTTTGGGAGATGGTGCATTTTCCTTTAGAATTCTTCACAGAAAGGCTGGAATACACATACTGGTGGTGATAGTTGCTTTTTTTCCCCCCCTCTAACTCAGTACTACTAAGGGTTGGATCAACTGACTCTATGAAAATTACATGGAAAATATCACTGTTTGGGGGGTAGATTCTTAAAGCAATGCAATAGTAACAAATCACTTATCTACAGTTTAATAGTTAAAGATACTATTCTTTCATTAAAATGACCTGAATATCATCATATAGATAACTGACAAAAGCTTTGCTTAGGCTTGTGCTCTTAAAATCATGAATATAATTATTTTAATGATAAAAGTGGACTTGACTTCAAAGGATCGCCATCAAAGCGTCAGGTGGGAATATATAATGACTTCAAAGAAGGCTCTTGCAGAACTCAGGACAAGAGATCTGTAGGATCTGCCAATAAACAACCCACAAATCACAATTTTACAAATACTAAGTATTGTTGGACAGGGCAAATTCTATTATGATTTTATGTATGAATTCTATAGACCTTTAATATTGAGGTGCAATATAATAGCAACGGTAAAGGGCCAGATTTTAGAGTCAGAGCTGAGATTAAGTTGTGCATCTACCTTTTTTTACCCGTATGACCTTAACAAAAGTACTTAACCTCTCTGTCCCTCAGTTTACTCTTCTGGAAAATAAGAAATATTTGCATATTGTATACTTTGTATAATCCTTCCATGGACACTATGTTGTTTAGGAATTTTACAAGGAACAAAACTGAGGCTCAGAGAAGTTAAATGACTTATCCAAAAATCACTCAGCTAGTAAGGAGCCAAGTTTTAAATTTGGACCGAATTTGTCACCAGAGGCTCTGCTCCCAAATCTATATGCCTAATAACTCTGCTGTGGAGATGAAATAAGACCATGATGCAAATGACAGACGGGTGTGTGATTAGGGGCAGGAAGGGATGCGTACATATGTGAGCATACACACTGAGGCCTTTGATTCTGACAGAGTAACAACAAGCTACTTTATAGAAATTGTTTTGAAACCTCACAACCACAACAGCTGCCAGAGTTCGCACACTATTTAGGTGACAGGGTAGGATTCTAACTCAGATCTTCTTGGTTCCAGACATTACCCCATATTTCCCGGGTCTAGTTCTGACCGAATCACATGCTATGTCAGCCCAAAGCACGTAATTCCTGAAGGAGATCCTCGGCATTTTCTCCTCCCACTGCAGTGGCTTAGAAGGTCCTGTATTCCAGATAGTGCTGCTACAAAACAGAGGGGTTGCTGTCGGCCTGGGTCCTTGGGAGACTGTGTGAAGCAGAGCCCCTTCTACCAACCTGGGTTTGACATGTAAAGTGACAAAAGACAAGCTACTGCGATCAGAAATCTGGGGTTTATTGCCACTGTATAGATGTCTTATTGAAATACTGCTGTCTTTGACTATTCTCCAGGTGAATTATCTTTTCCTCATTGATTTACAGAAACTCTTTATTTGTTAAGGATATTGACATGGTGTCTGTTACGTATGCTGTCAATGTTTTCCTCCCTATGATTTTGCTTACATTTTATTTTGCCGAACAGAAATATTTTTGCTGATGCTGTATTTTTCTGAACAGGAATTTAAAGTTTTACAGAGCCAAACTTGTCAGATATTTTCCTCTATGGCTTCTAGTTTATCTGTCAGAAATAGAGAGGATGTTCCTTTGCCAAGATAATAACTTTCCCATAGTCATTTACTGAATAGGCTATCATTGTGCCCTGCTCCTGGCAGAAAAGCTATTTTTATCAACACTAAATCCATATATATATATATATATATATATATATATATATATATATATATATATATATATCTCCATATATATATACACACACATATATAATCCACATATATATATAATGTATCTGTATCTGTACTCTTAATATTGTTCTATTTTTATGCCCATTCCATACTAATTTCTTACTTTTTAATATATGTTCTGATATATAATAGACGCAATTCCTCTTCATTTTTTTATTGCAAATATTATTGGCATACACATGTATTCATTCTTCCAGATAAAGTTTACTATTTGTCAGGTTTCAGAAAAGAAAATGCATTGGGATTCTAAATGAGTTACTAAATGTGTATATTAATACGGGGAGCACTGAAATCTTTATATTGTTGAGTTTCCATCAAGGAAAATGATGTGCATCTTCATTTATTCAGATCTCATTAAAATTTTATAGTTTTTCCTGTGTATTTCTTACTGAATCTATTTCTAGGTACTTTATACTTTGTGTTGCTATTGTGAATGTGTTGTCTTTTGGTAACACAAAATAGATGAACTTCGAAGAACTGTCTAAAAATAGAATTGAAACTCAAACCTGTGCAGTAATTACCTAGAAGCCAGTTGAGAGAGACATTATACGTAAATGTTTCTCAGATGAGAAAAGGGGTGGGGGATGGCCCTTGGCTTGGACCAGACTGAAGAATGTCACGTCTACATGAACCACAGCACAGTGGCTCTGAATGCAACTTCTGCTTCATTCCATTTTGCTGTTAGGCCATTGCCTACAAAAACCCTTTCCAGAACTTACTAGGAGGTTGTTTTTCAACAATGTTATTTTCTATATTACATTTGTCATCTGTATGAAGCTCCCAAAGAGGAATCCCCCTGGTCTTTATTCCTCCTGAGAAACTGCTTTGTGCTTTTAGCTAGCGGACCCTATTATAAATCATGTAACTGATAGCATTTCCCACTGCATTGTCTGCTAGAGAGCTTAGCATCAACTTCTCACCCACTGCTAACATATGCATGGGATTTTCATGGATGCATTCAAATTCTAAGCTTATTCCTGGCCTTGTCGAACTTTCTTTCCAACATTTACGCCTGTTTTTCATTTATTTTTATCTTGTTACATCTTACATATCTTTGTAATCCACTTTAAATGTGTTCTGGATCAAAACAGACTTGAAAATGCTTAGACGGGTATAATCCACGCACTAGTTCACGAAATTGCATGATAAATATAATTACCACACCATTTGATATAAAGAACTTTATTTTGAAATAAGGAAATACAAATTCTTTGAAGTTACCATCGGTTTGTGTAGAATCATCTCAGCCTTAATTTCTAAAATCAATCTGACTTTTGAAAACCTTCTAGTAAAATGATTACAGTAAACTTTAGACTTAAAGTCAGGCGAGGATATATATACTTTATGAGAGTCATCATATTACTAGTTTTGATTTATCTTTTAAAATGTGTGTTTGCTCCCTGTTTCATTCTCAATACTGAAAACACAATTTCTCACAAAGATTTACTCTCTTTCTATATCTAAAATTTTCCAAAAAAGAATTTTTAGGCTACATAAATTCAAAACAACTATTTTTGTGACCCAGCATGAAAATGTGTAGAAGCAAATCAGAATTGTTTTTAACTGGAGGTATATCTTCAAGTAAAACAAAGATAGGACCAAAGACAAACACAGTTTATGGGAATGGGTTTTAGAAAGATTTTTAGTTCAGTGAAGTATATTAGACAGTGTTCTTAATAATACGTTGTTTTAAGTGTGAACAAAAAAATTTTAGAAAGGAATTTGTAATACTAAAATCGATCTATACATATTCGAACTATCAATAATCTGACTTTAAGAAAGTGGGACAAGGTGACTGAAGACATAAAACACTATTGAGTTTACGGGGCACCTGGGTGGCTCAATCGTTAAGCGTCTGCCTTTGGCTCAGGTCATGGTCCCAGGGTCCTGGGATCGAGTCCCATAGCGGGCTCCCTGCTCAGCGGGAAGGCTGCTTCTCCCTCTCCCGTTCCCCCTGCTTGTGTTCCCTCTCTCGCTGTCTCTCTCTCTGTCAAATAAATAAGTAAAATCTTTAAAAAAAAAAAATACTACTGAGTTTATTTAACCAAGTGTTCCTGAACCATTCTGGGCGTGAAGAATGACAGGCATGAGGCCACGGTATTGTCCCAGGAACAGCGGCCGGCAGCTGGGTGCTTTACCACATGATTCCCAAAGGGCAGAGAGGCTCCTCGGGAAATAGTGGGGTGGATTAATTTTGACAATAATAAACTTTACATGAGGGACAGTGAGCATAATAGGATCTAATCAGACTGAACTCTTGCCAAGAACCTGAAATCAGAACCACCACCACCACCAAGTTCAATCCAAGTGTCCTCATTTCTACACAGAGAGAACATTTCTAATACTTTTATTTAAAGAAATAAAATCAATTGGTGAACTTCGTAAGAAGTGTATATAATGCACTTCTTGTGTGAACCCCTTTTTGTTCATTTGGTACCTTAGAGATATCTGTAAAGATCTGCCTCTTTACTTCTTAACTTCATCAACTCGCCTGGATGGAACATGAGGTCAACGATATACACCTCAGGGGGAGGGAGAGCCTCAATCAGTCCCTTACGAGATTCATTCATCAACTTAACTTCATTCCAGGCTCTGCCATACTCCCCACGAACCAGAGAGCAGCCAATGCCAATTTTATCAGCCAGCGCCTGTGGGAGAAAACACAAGATCAACCAAAAGTGAGGAGGGAGAGGGGCGGAGAAAAATCCTTAGCTGGAAGACCCACCTTGTTGAAGGGGAAATACACAACTCTTGCAAAGAAGTGCTTAGAAAGGAGGCTGGAAAAAAGATGTGGAATATTGTGATAGGAGCCAATAAAATGTGGTAAGTTCCCTTGTTCCCCAAGATCCTGCAGACTCAAAATCTCTGTGTAGGTCCTGCTGGGAAGTGACATTTTTCAGGCAGTTACACTGCATTGTATCAGCACAAGATTGATAACGTCATTGGAGAATAGCTATTCCACGGGCTTTCAGCACTACCGCATCTATCAATCTTTCCATGCTTCTAGGCTGCTCTGTGGGTGTGCTATGCAGTGGGATTGAATGGAGGGATCAAACTGGTGGGGACCTCTTTCTTGCCGATTTATTCTGTGTGATGGGGACGCTGCCGTGAGCAGGGGGTTGGCCCTTTTTGGGATGCCTGATGCCACTTCCTCCGGAGTGGCTTATGTTCCTTAGAAGCGCTCTCTTCAGTTTGTCCTGATTTTGAAGTTATTTAAAAAGTACCTTTAAAATAATCTGGAGACTTCTTAGCCACGTCATAGTGGATTAAGAGACTGCTCAGACTGCCTGGATTTGAATTTTGGCTCAGCCACTTACTAGTTGTTGTCACCTCAGGCAAATGACTCAGCCTCTCTGTACTTCTATTTCTTCATCTGAGAAATGAGGATAACAACAGTCGAACCTCCTTCCTAGCAGGGCGGTTATGGAGATGAAGGGAATGAATACGTGTCAAGGGCCTAGAGCTATGAATGCTGCACAGAGTAGGTACTCAATAGGTGTTCCTAGTAGAAGACAAGAATTGTGTTGTTTTAAAAATCCATCTATATATTAATGTGATTTATTGAATACCTACCCTGTGTATTGACTTCACCAAGGTAGTCTTTCTTGGGTGGACCAAGATAATTAAGACATGGTTGTCACTTTTAGAGGCTTCCATCCTATCAAGTCTGAGCCTGCCTGGTAAACAGTCAACTAGAATACAACAGGATCCAAATGGATGGCATTCTGTGGTATTGTCATTTATAATAGGATATACGCGTTTGGTCTTTGTCCCGTTTCTGGCACGGAACTCCTAAACCCTTGGAATTTCCTAAGTGATGAGAACGATAAAAGTGTCTTTCCTTATGTTAATGAGGTGACTTCTGGACCGCACTTAAGGATGGGGGCTGTTTGGCAGGGGAACCAATCTTATGATTGGGTTACAACATTTAGTCCCACCCTGAACCTGGGGAGGGGAGAGGGGTTGCAGGTTGAATCAGCCCCCAGTGGCAATGATTTCATCAATCATGGCTATGAAATGAAGCTTCCCTGAAAACCCAAAAGGTGAGAATTCGGAAAGCTTCCGGATTGGTGACCCCGTGGAGATTCAGGGAGAGTGGGGCACCTGGAGCAGGGCACAGAAGCTCCAAGCCTTCTCCCCCTACCTTTCTCTATGCATCTCTTCCATCTGGCTGTTCCTGAGTTATATCTTTTTATGATAAACTGGTGATCTAGTAAGTAAAATGTTTCTGAGTTCTGTGAGCCCCTCTGGCAAATTAATCAACCCTGAGGGGCTGTGTTCTTGGAAACCTCCAATCTATAGCGGGCTGGTCAGAAGCGCAGATGACAGCTGGGCTTGTGACTGGTTGGCTGAAGTTTGTGTGGTGGGGAGGGTGCAGTGTTGTAGGAGTGAGCCCGTAACCTGTGGGGTCTGATGCTGTCCCCAGGTGGGTAGTGTCAGAATTGAGTTGCATTGACCTAGCTGATGTCTGAGGATTGGCTGGATGTATAAAACCTGCTCCCCCCACCCTGGGCCTGCCACCTCTCCCCCCACTGGAATTGGTACAAGAATCCTCATACTCATTGTCTAGTGGGGTAGAGAGTCAAAAATAAACATGTTCTGGGGCGCCTGGGTGGCTCAGTCGTTGAGCGTCTGCCTTCGGCTCGGGTCATGATCCCAGGGTCCTGGGATAGAGCCCTGCATCAGGCTCCCTGCTCGGTGGGAAGCCTGCTTCTCCCTCTCCCACTCCCGCTGCTTGTGTTCCCTCTCTCGCTGTCAAATAAATAAAATCTTTAAAAAAATAATAATAATAATAAAAAAAAACATGTTCTCTGAAATAATATTTATTGCTCTCTTAACTCCATGTCAAGGCACTTTAAGTCGTCAAAATAATCCTGTGAAATAGATAACGATTGCGTATCCCATTTTATGGAGAGTGAAACTGAGGCCAGATCATTTTCCTGAGGAAGGTCACCGTAAGTGGTGACCTAATGTGGAAGCCAGGGAATCTGTCCCCAGAGTCTGAGTTCCTAGCCTCAGGGTGATACTGCCTCCCACTGAGTTGAATGAGTTCCCAGCTGAAAGTCTCCATCTTCTCTGCAAAGTGCGAAACAAAGTCGTCTGCTTAGAGGAAGAGGCAGAGATGAAAGTGTTAGTAGGACAGACATGTGGGGCAGAGCTGCTGCGGGAAAAGGAAAAGCCTGTGACCAGGAGCTGGAAAAGAGTGGCCAGGCCAAATGACTGTCCACATGAGTTGGGCACGCTGACTCGGCTGTGGCACTCCCCACTGTCAAGTTCCATAGCCCGAGTGTCACAGTGGAAAGGGCAAGCAATCCGACTGGCCCCGGGGGGACTGGCAAGGCAGTAGGGAGGACGGATGGGGTCAAGAAAGTGGGGGAAGTTAGTGAGCCAATTATAAGGTCTAAGGATAATTCATCTAGGCTGCCAAGGGGGAAAAGTAAAGCCAAAAAGGAGGCAACAAACTGGAAGAAAATAGGGAAGATGAAGAGTATTCACAGGAGTGAACAATTTAGGAGGGTGGAAGGATAAAAGATTTTATCATTGGTATTAGCGGTCAGGCCGTCAGGGGTGGGCAAGACCCAGCTAATGAATTGTGTCACTCCATGCAGGTGTGAGGGTAATAGATTGAATTCGGCATAATGAGATGGACTGAATGTTCGTGTCTCCCCCGCCCCGCCCACCCAGTTCATATGCTGAAACCTTGATCCCCAGTAGGGTGGTATTGGGAGATGGGTCTTTAGGTAGTTAGGTTCAGAGGAGGTCATGAACATGGAGCCCCCACTGCGGGATTAATGCTTTAGTAAGAGGAGGAAGAGATCAGAGCCTCCTGTCTGTCCGGGATGTGAGGACAGAGGCGGAAAGTGGCCACTGCAAACCAGGAAGAGGGTCCTCACCAGATGCTGACTCTGCTGGCACCTTGATCTTAGACTTCCCAGCCTCTGCAATTGTGAGAAATAAATGTTTACTGTTTAAGCCCCCCAGTGTATGGTATTTTGAGACAGCAGCATGAGAACACTAATACAGTGCCTAGGAGATGCTCGGGTGCAGCCAGCTGGAGCGCAGACAGATCAGGAATCAGGAGAGGTCTGTGGGACAGAGGAAAGAATCTGGGCACCTTAGGCAGTTAGTGTTTAAGGTCACGTGACAGGAGGACTGCACCGTAGAAAGTACATAAAGTGAGAAAAGAGTCTGGGTTGGAACCGTGAGGGACCCCCACCTTGAAGGGGCGTGGAGGAAAAGAGGTCACCAAAGGCCACTGAGATGAAGTGGAAAGAGAGGACAGAAGTTACTAAAGAGAGTGGTGTCAACGGATGAGAAGGATCAGTGACAAATTCTTTGACATATCAAGTAAGACAGGGAGCTAAGGCCAGGCTGCAGTGGGCTGAGGAGAAAAATGAGGCATGCTAAGGAGGGACTGAGATGACTAAGGTGCTGAGATGACTTTGAATTTTGACCTGGAATGAGAATTATCTACAGATAGAAGCAATGTGGTAGGTTTGATTCAGACAGGCATGGGTACGGGTGCCAGCTGGGCCTCTGGTTGATCTTGGGTAAATTCTCTCTTTGAGGGGCGCCTGGGTGGCTCAGTCGTTGGGCGTCTGCCTTCGGCTCAGGTCATGGTCCCAGGGTCCTGGGATCGAGCCCCACATCAGGCTCCCTGCTCCGCGGGAAGCCTGCTTCTCCCACTCCCCCTGCTTGTGTTCCCTCTCTCACTGCCGCTCTGTCAAATAAAATTAAAAAAAAAAAAAATTCTCTCTTTGAGTTCGGTTTTCTTGTCTTTCAAACAAGGGTGTAATTTCAACCTTTGGCATTTGTGAGACTCTTCACAATTGCATTTATCAGGTGCTTGACACGTAGCTCAAAATGATGGTGGTCATGGTAATAGGAGCTATAGGAGTAGTTGTAGCTATGAGGAGAAAAGGTTTCTATTTCCTCTTTAAAGAGTACAGACTTAACTTTAGATTTTAAAGGAAAAACAGCTAGTAGAGAGAAAGAGATTTAAGGAGAAAATTTGATAAAGCAAGAAATCCAAGAAAATACAGAAGGTTGGCATTTGGATTAGAGATAGAATTCGCTCAGAACTGGAAGCAAGATATACATGGATGTAAAGAGGTTTGTAGGTATTTGGGAGGGGATAGGAATCTTATACATTCAGTCTAGAGTTCAGAAACCATTTTTGCAGCTCCTATTATATTCCAGACACTTGACACAATGGAGAAAAAAATCACCCCCTCTTTCTCGTATCTGATCCTTCTTTAGTGTCCCCGTCTCGGTGAATAATGCCATCATTACCAGTTGCCCCGCCCAGGACCTGAAAATCACTTTGTTCTTCTCATGCAGTCCCTCATACCACACCTAGGCAGACACCCAACTGTTTTAAATCTCCCTGTAAATTCACACCTTCTTCCACGTCCTCACAGCTATTGCTTTGGTAAAGGTCACCTATATTTCTTGCTCCAATGACCTTCCAGTTGGTCTTCCTGTCTCCAGTCCTGCCCCTGCTCTAGTTGATTCCCCCTTCTGTTGCCTGAACGGTCTTTCAAAATCATGTTGCTGCTTTCCCCTTAACAACATTCAGTGGCTACTCACAGATTTTAGGATCAAGTGCAAACTCACATGGTGCTTTGTGATCTGGCCCTTAGCCTCCTCCAACCCCTCCTCTTTCCTTCATCCAGACAAACTACTCTACACTCCTCAGATGGACCAGGGGCTCTCATTCCAGTTATTTTGTATAAAATATTGGTTTGTTTAGAATGCTCTTGTCTTCCTTCTTTACCTGCTGAAATCCTACTTAGCCTCTAATACTCAGGCTGCATATCACTTCATCCCCTGAAACTTGCCCTGACATCTCCTTAGAACCCACAAGTCGGGCTTAGGCACCTGGGGTAGGGGCTGCCACTTTAGTATCTCTATATTCCCAGACCTTAGGAGAGCCCTTGGCCTATAGTAGATGTATGATAAATGTTGAATGAATATGCTTCTGATAGTCTGGCAAATATACACGTTACATATATATCTCAAATAGAAGTAACTCTAAACGATAGGATTAATATTAGCCAGTTAAATGTTAGCCAATGGCTCACACCATTATAATAATGACAAACATTTGTACCTATTGGCAAGTGAGGCAAAACATCTTAAGTACCTTGAAAAGCAAAGCTCGATGGTAGAAGATTCCTTTTTTGATCAGTCCAATTGGTATAACATTGGATTTAAGTTGAAATTTTAGTTCGCTTATATGAAGTTCCCAGCTGAAATCATGTAGTTTCTCTTTTGAAACTTTACCGCCCATTTTTTCTGCCACATACCTGTGTCAATTACATTGAGATCAAATCAGTCAAGTTTAATATCTCGTTTTGGATGCTTTGAGTGTAACTGTATGTGTGAAAACTATATTTCCTTTGACTTTTATCATTGGCTTTACTTTTTAAACTTACTATAAGCGTGTTAACATTATGCCTACTGTCTTCAAACTCTCATGTATAAACTGAAATTCTAACAATTTCATTCAACACAAAGGAAGAAATGAATGCTAATTTCAATATTTATAACAAGAGACAAATCAATATCACACTAAATTTGTATCAGTGCAGTCTTAAAGTTCTATCTTGCTCTTGAAAAGTATTTTCAAATGTTTCAATCTGAAATCCAAGGCATTGTACTAACGTATGGTCCTTCTTTTAAGGAATTTGAACTCAGAGATAATGTGAACAAATAGGAAATTTTCCCATTGGATTCCCAAATATTTTCAAGTTTTATAAGTTTTTGCCTTTTGTCTTATTATTATTATTTTTTTATTTAGAGGCATTTATGTAACCCTGAAGTGAGAGGAGAGAGGAAGGGGGTGATATAGTTTGCCTAGGGGTTTCCCCCTCATTTGAAGCTCTCCCTGAAGAAGTCAGTAAACACACCTGCAAAAATCTTCTGTCGACTGATGAAGCCTACTACATCTTGGAGTAAAGGCAGAATTGCAAATTTTAAGAAAGAATTTCCTCTTGCTGTATGTAGGATCAAGCAAAGAAGAACAACGGCGAAAAACAGAGAAAGGGGCGGGGAGAGAGCTGTCGCACGGACCCCGCCAGGTATCCTGTAATGAATGCGGGAAACCAAAGGCACGGGGACAAATCTCTGGATCTCGCCTCGAAAAGGGCTCAGGTTAAAAAAAGAATTATTTGGGAATGATGAAAAGTATTTCTGATAGGAACAAAGCATGAGGACATCTGACAAATGCTGAAATGAGCTAAATCAGAGTTCTGCTCGAGTCATCACTTCTCAAGGACATCAGGAAAACTTCAGTCGCCAAAAATGTTCTCTTCCAGTTCTGGCTGACAAGAAGTCAATGATCTGGCGGCTGTGTTTCTTGCAGTTGTCACGTCCAGGTTTGATGAGTGCAATGCACTGCTCCTTGGAATAGACACAAGCTCCTGTGGAGACTACAGCTGTTGCAGGATCCAGTAGCTCACTAACTGGTTGTCGGTGCCAATTATGGAGGCCACCCTCCACTTGCTGCAATTCCTAACCCCTTACAACTACCAAGTCAAGTTCTCAGATTTCCCTTAGTGGACTCACATTAAATGCTCTAATTAAGAAGGCAACATCACTGGCTCTGCCCAAACAGCCACCTCTTAGGACGCTCACAACCACACTCGAGAGCAACGCGAAACGCAAAATATCAGACATCTCTCTGACCTAAAAATAGTGATGGTTATTTGTATCAGAAAAGAATTTGTGGGGATGGGGTAACCTGGTGATGGGCATTAAGGAGCACACGTGATGGAATGAGCACTGGGTGTTATAGAAGACTGATCAATCACTGAACTCTACCTCTGAAACTGATAATACACTATATGTTAATTCATTGAATTCAAATTGAAAAAATTAAAAAAAGAAAATAATTTGTGAGTTTACAAAGAATTCACAATACACTTCGTTAAATTGTGAGCACCCCAGGTACCTAAGGAGTAATTTAATTTTCTTTCTCTCTTTTTTTATTTTTGGAGTAATTTAATTTTCAAACTTTTGATTCCTTCCTAACTTCTTCAGGATCACGTTGAACGATGCCTTTAATGGTTTAGCTGGAGAAAATGACAAAAGTGTTTTTCTTTAAGCAATTTCTAGCTCCTAGCTCTGATTCTTGGCGGAAATAGGACCTAAAATAGAAATTGGGCATTTTTTCCAATTTATTATGTTTCTGCTTCAAGGTCAGAAGTGGGGGGCAGTAATTACACTGTCGTTAGCTGAAAATGGGCTAAGAAATGTAAACCACTAAAATAAAAAACTTTGCTTCAGAAACTTAAAATGCTGATGTATATAGAGACCACTTACTCTGCAAGAGCCTCAATCTGCTCCTTAATATTGGTTATGGGAAATATTGACTTGGTCACTTCATACACATAAACACAGAAGCCCGGGTCGGAGGGAGGGTACCATTCTTTATCAGGGCTCCCTTCTCCGGCCAATTTTGGGGCTGCCACAAACTCCTCTTCCTCCTTCACTTTTTCCTCTTCTTTTTTCCCTCGGTCTTTCCTTTAAGAGGAAACGGCAGCAATCAAAGTCACAACATGAATAGGCACTAACTGCACTCCGAGTTCATCTGAAGAGCACACCAGAAAGAGAGTTTTTTATACCTTAACGACCGTATCATGTGCAGTTTTCAAATTTTTGATGACAACAATAGAGTTTTATGGTTTCTATATTATGTAAGCGAAATTAACTGTCAAGAGAACACAACATGATTGATACATATTATGAAAATCATATACTGGTCTTGCATACAATTGCCTAGCCAGATGTCTGGTGCATAGTAGGTATGTAATAAACATTTATTGAATTGGGAAAAAATAGGTTGCCTCCTCAGGGAGTGTAAGCCAGTCTTACATCATCTCTTGCTTCAGGTGAGACCTTCTGCAAGAAGAGTTTGAATCACTGTTTTTAAGAAAAATGACCCAGAACTTGGAAAAAAGGCAAAACAAAATAAGGCTAGCATGGAATTTTCATGTCATGCAGGGGAAGACTTACCTAAAGTTTTTATAGGGAAACGTACTTAGTTCTGTACTTAGGAAAACTGGAATGTACTTTGTAAAGATATTGTTTAATTAAAATATTCTGTGAATTAATCGTTTCAAACTTAGAGAATTTGCTAGCTAACATGTAAGTGTTTGTTTAGTAGAGATGCACATTATTTCCGTCAATGGAGAAGATATGGCCAGAGGTTATAGTTTATTGTCCTGTAGGATGGTAACCAGTTTTTGGGTTTTTTTTTAATGTAACTCAGCCATCTTTTTCTAACATCCTTTAATTAAATTGGATATAAATCCCTAGCTCCTCAAATGTCCTTTGGACCAATATTAACATCTTCCTGGTTCCCTCATTAATTTATGAGTTGAACAAAAGCAGTGACATGTATTCTCATTCCAGGTAACATGGAGTAGGCACATTTAACCCTGCTTCTCCTCCTGAATACAGTCCATCAAACCTGGACAGGATTCAACAGCTACTTGAAGACTCTGAAAAGCAAATGGTAGCAGGAAGATCCGAGAAGGTCTCTGGAATTACTGAACAGATGGTGAGTTTATCTTTTTATTTTTCTCGAGTATTCTCTAGACATGGCTCAAAATCCCGGAAGTGGGCATCAGCACAGAGAGAGTTCAAGGAGAGGCCCTCTTGAGAAACAGGAAAGACACAGAGCAGAGGAAAGCCATGTTTTGTTGTTTTCTTTTTTTCCCTCCATTCTCGTGTGTCCCAGCCCCCAAGGAATCCTGTGGCTGTGGCAGCAGTGGTGACATCAGCATCTCATAAGAACCCAAAATAACTTTATACTCACTCAGTCCTCATGTTGCTTGGCTGGAGAGAATAGGGGCAGTCACGGCCAGAGGATAGCAGGGCAGGGTAAATAAAGTTTCCCGACTTGAGGACCAAAAAAAACCCCCCAAGGAACCAACAAACACAAGGGAGATCACGAAAAGGGAAAAGCTCAGGAAAAAAATCAAGTTATTTATGAATTCTTAGGCTTACCCCCAAGCTGTGTACATATCGTTCTGACCCTAAACAGTACATCACAGATGTTGAGGCTAGAACGATGGGACTGACCACCACCCAAATCCTAAACTGGACGCCAGTTGGCACACAGTCAGGACTGCTCCAAATAGCACGGCAAAGCCTTTGGAAACTGGGCTGACAGTGGAATGACAACCCACAGAACACTGGCTGAAACTTGTTGAAGATTGAAAGCAGCTGGGTCTGGGCACCTGACGTCTCGGAGCGTGTGACTCTTGGTCTTGGGGTGGTGAGTTCGAGTCCCACGTTGGGTGGAGAGATTACTTAAATAAATACAACTTAAAAAAAAAAAAAAGAAGAAATCAGCTTGGTCAACTGCTGGCTAAAACAGACACACAAAAAGGGAAATTCTTCTTAGAATGCATATAAGACACATTTACCAATATTTTGATTACTGTAACTTTATCATAAATCATTAAATCGAGAGATTTTTTCAACTTTATTCTTTCTTTAAAATTATTTTATATACCCTTCCATAAAGGTTTTAGATTTAGCATGTCTATATCTAAAAAAATCCTGCTGGAATTTTGATAGAATTATACCAAATCTATCAGATCAGTTTGGGGGAAAACTGACATTTTTACTATGTTGAGTTTTCCAATACATGAACGTGGTATATCTCTTCACTTATTTAGTGATTCTTTGATTTCCTTTGTGTTTGATGGTTCTCAATATATGTTTTGAGATATTTCATATCTCATTTTTAAAGCTGTTAAAAATGGTATTCAACAAATTTTTGGTTTTCAATTTTTTATTGCCAGCATATAGAAATATGATTGATTTTTATGTTTTGACCTGATATACTGATCTGTTGCTAAAGTCACCTATTATTCCTAAGAGGTTTTTTAAAAAATAGACTCCTTATGGATTTTCTATTCAGACTATCTTGTTGTCTGCAAATAGGAACTGTTTTTTCCCCCTCATTTTCCAGTCTTTATACTTTTAAAAATTACCTTATTGCAATGTGTAGGTGATGAATAAGAGTGATAAGAATACAGTGATGAATAGGAGTGATAAGAATAGTTATCCTTGTTTTGTTCATGATTTTTTCAGAAAAGCATCCAGTCTTTCACCATTAAGTATGATATAATCAGTTGTTTCTCCCCCCCGCCCCCCCCGTGGATGCCTTTCATCAGGTCGAGAAAGTTCCCTTATATACCTACTTCACTGACAGTTGTATTTTTAATCATAAATGATGTTGAATTTTGTCAAATTATTTTTCTGCATCAATTAATATGATCATGTGGGTTTTTTTCTTTATACTGTCAATATGGTGGATTACATTGATTGATTTCCAAATATTGAACCAGCCTACATTCCTGGGATAAACTCCTCTTAGATGAATTATTCTTTCTATGTATCACTGGATTTGATTTGCTAATATTTCATAGAGGACTTTCACCTCTGTATTCATGATGGATACTGGGCCGTAATTTTCTTTTTGTATAACCACCTTGTCTGATATTGGCATTAGGATAATGCTGATATCATACATTGGGAAACATTCTCCCTTATTTCCTGGAAAAGACTGTTTGGGGTTAGTATTGATTCTCGAAACATTTAGCAAAATTCACTAAATGAAACCATTGGGGTCAGGAGATTCTTTTTAGGAAGGGTTTTATGAATTCAGTTTCCTTCATAGTTCTGGACTATTTAGGTCATCTATTTCATCCTTGGTGAGTTTTGATAGTTGGCAGTTTTTGATGAATTTGTTCATTTCATCTAAGTGGCTGAATTAAAGTGCTCATAGCATTATCCTTCAATGTGTGTAGGGTTTGTGATGATAATTCTCTTTTCATTTCTAATATTGATAATTTACATATCCTCTTTTTTATGCTTTGTCAGTCTTGCTAGAAGTTTATCAATGTTACTGATGTTTTTAAAGTACCAGCTTTTGATTTCATTGGCCTTCTCTATTGCTTTTCTGTTTTCAATTTCATTGATTTCTGCTCCTTACTATTTTCTTCCTTCTGCTTGTATTGGGTTTATTTTGCTTGTCTTTTTCTAATTTCTTGAGGTAAGAGCTTAGCTTACTGACTCAAGACCTCCCTTTTATTCTAATAATTTAGTAAAATAAATTTCCCTCTTAGAACTGCTTTGCCTGTATCCCACAAATTTTCATATGCTACATCTTCACTTTCATTTAGTTCTTTGTAGTTTTAAACTTCCTTTGAGACTTTTGTCCCATAGATTATTTAGAAATGTGTCATTCAACTTCTGCACATCTAGAGATTTTCTTGTCTTTCTGTTGTTAATTTCTAGTTTGTTTCTATAAGGGTCAGAGATCATATTCTGTATGATTTCAATTATTTTAAAGTTGCTGAGTTCTGTTTTATGACCCCAGGTATTTGTAAATGTTCCACATGAAGTTGAAAAAATGTGTTTTCTGTTGTTAGTGGTGGAATGTTCTATAATTCATTGATTAGATCCTATTTATTGCTGGTATTGTTCAAATCTTTTATATCTTTGCTGATTTCAGGTCAAGTAGTTCTATCAGTTGCTCAGAGGGGAGTGTTGAAATCCTCAACCATAATTTTGGACTTGTCTATTTCTACTTTCTGCTCTATCAGTTTTTGTTTCATGTATTTGAGGCTCTGTTGTTTGGTGCTATACATTAGATCATTGTGTCTTCCTCACAGATTAATCCATTTTTCATATGTCTTTGTCTCTAGAAATTTTCTTTGCTCTGAAGTCTACTTTATTACGTATTAAAGAGCCACTCCTGCTTTTTAAAAAGTTAATGTTTACATGGTATCTTTTTCTATCTTTTCACTTTCAACCTACCTATATCAATGAATTTAAAGTGAGTTTCTTTAAACAGCATATAGTTCCATATAACTTTTTTTTTTAAGCTTTTATTTTTAAGTAATCTCTACACCCAACATGGGGCTCGAACTAACAACCCTGAGATCAAGAGTCGCATGCTCTACCGGCTGAGGCAGCCAAGTGCCCCTCCATAATAACTTTTTAATCCACTCTGTCAATCTCTGCCTTTTGATTGGTTCTTATTCCTCTGTTTTTCCTTCTTTGCCTTTCTGTTGGTTACCTGAACATTTTTTAGTTTTCCATCTTGATTTATTTACACCATTTTTGAGTGTAGCTCTTTGTATTGGTTTGTAGTGGTTACTGTAGGATTTTAGTATACATACATGGCTTATCACAGTCTGCTGGTATCCACATTTTATCACTTTGAGGGAAGTGTGGAAACCTCACATCCATTTAGCTCTCTTTACCTCTCTTCATTTTTGTTTCAATCATCAAATGTGATTTATAAAACTCATGAGGAAACAGATAGCCTATTGTATGTACCCATATTTCAATTCTTTTTGCTATTCCTTCTTCCTTCCTTGATGCTTCCAGATTCTTTCATCATTTTCTTCTTGTTTGAAGAACTTCTAGTAACTAGTCAATATGTAAAGGTAGAACTGCTGGCAATAAATTTTTTGTTTTCCTTCACTTGGGAATGTCTT